CTGTGCCGTGATGTCATGCGGCCGTGCCACACCCTCCGCAACGTCATAGCGTGCAGCTAGGTCAAATGGAGTGCGTGAAAGCAATAGTGTCATTGCTATTTCAAATGATTTGGCGACCGATAGTAGGTGGTGCAAGCGACCCCGAAGACGTAACTCCTTGTGAGAGTGAGGATGCAGCCATTGCTGACCATCATGTGTTCGGTCTGGGGCTGAGAACCTCGGTATGCAGCTGAAGAAATGGCCGCGCGGGCCGGTCAAGAGTGAGCGCTACTGAGTTTCCGACTGATGAAGAAGCAGCAGCTATTGCAACAAGGCTGATATAATTGAGCCCCGGCCAGCGAAAACCAGCACTTGTGTACTTGATATCAATCATCAAAATGTGACGTCAAAGTTTGGGACGCGCAGTGAGCTGGCTTTTCAAGATTCTTTTTCGATCGAGTGGGTGTCTTTGTTGTCAAAAGAGTTTCAAGTGTCTTCAAATGTCTCTGGTCAATCGATTTTAGCGCTAGGTGAGAGCTCGTCACACGGAGGTTGAGTTTAGACACAGTGATGGCGACGGGTGTCGCGACAAGGACTTAGGTCCAGAGTTGTCAGCGTGAGACTCCCTGTACGAAGCGGCGCTGAAAGTTAGTTCGCGATCAGAATTATTTCTTTGGTGGCGATCTCGCTGAGTTTTTCCAGCAGTGGCGAGTCTCATATGCATAGCAACGAAGAGCCCTCATAAAATCGACACTGGATATTGATGGCGACGATAGTCAGCGCTGGAGTAATAGCGACTGCGAGGAGAAGCTGAATGTCGACCCGCTGAGCGATCCGTATTTCTACATCGACAACAATGATTTTGCAGACACTGACATGATGGAGGGTCTCACGGCGCAAAACAGAGCGTAGTATTATCAGTACTCTACCTTGCCAGACGACGCCAAGCTGGCTGCTGCCTGTGCTGAGAAAGGCGATCCCTAAAAAGTCAAACCGGCTGAACGCGTTGGGGCAACGTCTTCACGAGCTACAAAACGCGAATATTCACTCAGATCATTGAAATATAATTATGCTGAAATACAATTATGCTGAAATCATGGTCTGAGTGAAAGTGTGCAAGGGTGTGGATGTCAGTGGTATTGGTCAGTACATCTATCAGTATGGCAAGCTTTGGGACAACGCTCAAACTGCCAGCACAGAGGTCCCTGAACACAATTTGGAAGGCCAGCCACCAATCATCGTTTTGCACTCTGGTGTTGTAAAGAAGGTAGTGGTGTACTTGTATACGGAATATCGTCACACTTCTGAACTACTCATGCTTGCGCACCAAGAGGGCAAGCCTGACTTGCAATCTATTTACTTACATGTACCTGTTCCACATCACAATCAGAAACTGTAGGATCAACTTGCATGGAGTTACTGGGCATGGATGCTGCGCCAACTGTACTGAATCTTGACCTGTGTGACTTCAAACTCTATTTTCCATGCTTTCGCTCATCAGATTGTCACCAAACTTGATAACTTGAATGATTAATAGTGTAGAATCAATTTCGAGCGAAAAAATAATTTTTGAAAAAATTACACATGTTCAGGTTTTTGCTGGCTGGGGCTCAATTATCAGATCGCTGGAGAGCAGGGTCGCCAAAATGGAGAAGAGTGATGCGAGTGCTCTAAATGTTGTTCCATACCGATTCGCTTAGACTCCAGTAGCCTGCTACATGGTGATTTTTTGGTGCGAACTGGGCATGTTTCGGACTATTCAATTGGAGAACAGTGCAGGCTCTTTGAACCAGGGGCACGACTCTTCGCTCACTACGCTACCCGATTCGAAAGTTCTAGGTCCGGGAGCTGTTCGCTATTTTGTCACTTGTCACGATTGTGCACTCATCGCTGTAGCATAAAATAATGAGGCGGGAGTGGAAAACTACAATTTTCTTTCTCAAAGCACAACCATCGACACCGGCAAGGAGAAACGCACGTTCTCTGACTACATGACTGTACAATACGACTGATACGAGTGTAGTACATGACGAGTCCGTGTGGTGACTAGTTTTCTGAGTCTTGTGACTCGAATCTTGTTGTACCTACCCCAGCATGGCAGTGTGGGAGTAGTTCCGTGTGTGATGAGTTTGTTGACTACACTACAGGCCAGCATACACGGAGCGCATTGCTAGAGCCGCAGAGGTCAGTGCGTGCCGACGGAAAAAGGCCAACTCGGAAACGGCTAAAATACGGTATTCTCGAGGTTTACTGAGCTGCAAATTACAGGGTACGTAGTGTTTGTAACAGTGAATCGAATGGTCTTGGTCCGAAGAAGCTGCGACAAACGGCTCCCCAATCGAACGCGCTCCGAATATAGCCATTTTGTACACAACTAGATGGTGTGGCTACCTGGCTGCACGCTGTGACGTCATCACCTGGATCTGGGTGATGCGCGCTCAAATTCGCACATGTTCGATTGGGCGTAGCTGACGAACCATAGGCCGCAGCCTCCTCGGACAAAGATCATTCGACTCAGCGCCCCGAACTCTACGGACTGTGAAATTAAAAAATTTCACCGGACTTCCCCTTTAATCGAGTGCCGTTTGAATGAGAAGATAATGCTCTGGAGCACCGGTAACTAACTTTCATAAGCAATGCATTCGCCATTCTGCCTGAAGACCTGGCCTATGACATAGCACCACGACAGAAATTGTGCGAAACAGGAAACGTTTTTTGATTATGTGGCGTGCTTGAGAGAGCACATAGAGAATGCAGTGGTGATTCAGAAATCATCTCCGCACAAGACCATTTTTGAAGATACTACTTTAAGGAACTTACCCTCTTTCCTCTCGCACTGGATCTTGCAAGAAATCTGGACTCTCCTCTGCCTCCATCTCTATATACTCGACTAGAGGGGCACAGGGAGGCAAACAGGAAGCAGAAATGCAGGTTGATGAGCTTGAAATCAGTTCATTCGGCGCCGGGAGGTGAGTTATGAGGCCGGCGAAAGGCTTTTGGTCTGTATCCTTTTGTTCAATTGCGAATTAGTAGGACAGTGAGAGGTCGTTGTACCATGCATTTTACATCAGACTGTCATCGAAGTTTTGTTTCAATTAAATGTAATGGGCCTTCCGTAAATATCGATATTAATTTTTACCACGAAACAAATAAATTTCGTTTCAACCCAACCTCACCCCCCCCCCCCCCCCGAACATACTTCAAGTAAAGAAATGTTGACATACACATTCATATACAACAAAAGTCGCAAGTGTGTCACTGCTCCCACCTCCATGTGCATGATCATACAAATGTTTTCTGAAACGAAAATTGATCAACCCCCTCCCAATGCCGCACCTCATGACGAACATATTTCGTTTCGTAAAAAAAAGTTCAATATCAATTTTGAGGACGACCCTAAGACCGTTGAAAATCAACCCATGAATAAAATCATCAGTGCTCTCACGGTTCACAACATCACTAGGTAAGGTACAATGTACACGTACAGTCAGTATTGCCTATAGCGTTGGTGTTTGATTTTGAGCATGTTATCACTATAAGCGATATATCACTATGACCGATACTGCATGCAATGTATGCGAGTGGGGTGCCAAACGACTCAGGGCGTCGTGCACATACGCACTGCATAGCTGGCTACAGCTCATGTCACACAACATCAGCATTTCCTCACGATGGAGGCATATTTGGCAACTTTTACAAGCAGAACTCACCAAACAACACTGGACAAGTTAGTTCTTCACGAAGAAGTAACACCCTGTTCTCCTCTGACACCACTTGATTTTACATCAATCACTATAATCGATGCAAAAATAATGTAATGAAGGTCTTTTGAAATAAGAATGTGATCACTATAGGCGATATATTACTATAGACGATTATTACTATACGCGATAACTGTGTATACTTAGTTATGGCAAATGAAAATGAATTTGAGAAATTGATCACTATATCCGGTATATTACTATAGCCGCCAACCTTATAGGCGATACGTACTGTACTAGGCACCGGCAGATAATGCCGGTAGAAAAATTGGCAGAATTCGGTACTTTTTCTGGTAAGTTTCATGCATGTTTGGTATGTGGATAAAGAAATGGAGCCGCTGAGAATTCGAGGAATTGCCCGCCATAAGGTTTGTATGGTTCTGCCAATTTCACTGCTTTTCGAGCAGAATCTGCCACCTTTTCGAGCAGAATCCGCCAGTGAGTAACACGTACGCCTGAAAACGATTTTGGAAACTACGTGTTCGTAGCCAAGAGCTTGTAGCGGATCATTTCATTAATTTTCATTTATTTCACCTTCCCATCACATAGCATTGTTCAGTATTGACATTCCATGTGGAATGTTTATGTACTAAGTATGTTCTTGTTGAGCACCACGCGGTACTGGCCAATGAAGGATGATGATCATGTGGGAGATAGACAGACATGCAAACGGGGCATTGAATTTGTTTTCAAATACCGGTACTCTAATTTCAGAAATTTTCGGTGCTCAATATTTTCGGTATGAGGGCAAAAGGCCAGGTTAGGTGAACAGAAATTTTAGGTACAGAGAAGCAGTTCCCCATTGGATTATGTGTGATAATAATAATAATATTGTTCGGTGTATTGAAATTAATTTTTAAGTATGAAACAGATGCACCGAAAATAAAAGTACACCGAAAATTTGTGAAATTACAGTAGAGTAAAACCTGTCAAGGCGCGACCACTCTGATTGGGAGACCACCTGTTTCAGGGACCACTCTGATTGGGAGACCACCTGTTTCAGGGACCACTCTGATTGGGAGACCACCTGTCTCAGGGACCACTACAGCTGGGACCAGGGGATGCTATTTTCAGTCAAATGACCCTCGTCCAGGAAACCACCTGTACTCGCGCGACCCCGTTTTGAATTTCCCCTGCGTGGTCGTCTTAGACAGGTTTCACCATAAAGTGTAAATGCAATAAACGACTTACCGCCGTCATCATCCAGGTCAAATTCCTCTTCATCACCATGGGGTGGATTGGACGCCCAGCCTTTCAGCTCAGCCATGGCGGATGATCCGCTGCACAGCTTGACCGCCACGTTGTACTTTTCCGCGTCGTTTCCACCCACATGGATACCGAGCGCCGAAGCTTTCTTCCCGGCCTCGTCTAAGGTGTACAGCACACAGCCGCTCTGCCCAGCGCTGGAGTCGATATAATGCTTGACGAGCGCATCGTTGAACCCTTCCACACTGCCCGGTGCTTCTACCCAATACTTGCATTTCTTTGCTCTGACCCAAGCGCCATTCGCGTAGATTCTCCCTGGAAAGCCGAGCAGGAACGAGTTTTTCTTCTTTTCAGTCGCATTTGGCGCAGCCTTCAACACCTTGCTCAAAGTCGTGAACGGAGCTGACATGGTGGTCTCCCTCGAGGCAGCAACAATGCCATAATCGTGTGGAAACCGATCTGCCTTGGCACTTTGCTTCGCATTCTTTTCGTACCATTCAGGCACCTTCAGCCACCCATCGGCATTCTTCTTTGTTATCCTTTTGGACAGAAACACAGGTGACGGGCCTTCACTAGTCTCCTGCCATTTCTCGATGATTTGCACCCACCGGTAGTCGCCGCAATTGTAGCAGTAAAGGTTGTGAGCCGCAGTGGCCAGGTAATAATACTCGCCAGATAGCCGGTTCAGGTCGTACAGCAAAAACGCCGTCCCGTGGCCCAGATTTGGTTTGGACATCTTGGCGCACTTCGCGCAGCCACATCGTATGTTGAACGTGGCGTGGTAGGGTGCGTGGTGCGGCGAGTCAACTGGCGGGTCGTTGGCGATTTTGCGATGATCGGTCGATTCAATAAGGATTTCCTCTTCAAACCCAGCATTGGAAGTCGCCATTGCTTCTGCCATGCTTCATCCAAAGAGAGTCGGTTTGCTACGAGGAAACGAACGGAGGCAAAACCAATACGTATGTATCACACACGCACAAGTTTTGTACCAGAAGTACCCGTGTAACGCCAACGGCGTTCATGCAAGTCATTGTAGTGGGTGAGCTCCAACAACAGAAAGAATGTTTACTAATGTCTGTACTAATGAGGTAATGTCCTCGGCCTATCCCGAAGTACACCTACACTGGCTACAGAGTACAGACAGGCTCGACTGACAAATCTAGCCAGCTGAGTCTGTTCTGATATGACCAGAATAATGACGTCTCGGACTACAGACTAAACAGTACAGTCAGTACAGGCTCGCAATCATACAGGCTACATCATAAAATGACATACCGGTAGTCATTGTAGTAGGTCTACTATTCTGTATTCATCATGTATCATATTTTTCATTGAACTCTTGACTTGAGCAGGCGAGCGTGCACTCGACTATCAGCTAGCTAGCTACTGACAGTCCAGAGCAGATGTGCTGAGCGCTTGTGTCCGCAGCCAAGTGCATCCGGTAGATTCCAGGACTTGGGGATTCTTGGGGACTGCAATCTGCAGTGTGTGTACGCGTGTGTGTGTGTGTGTGTGTGTGTGTGCGTGCGCGCGCGCTGTTCCTCAGCATCATACTACACTGAACTAGTAGTAGTACTACTACAATGTAGTAGCTCATGCTTCTGCGCGCGTCACTGTGTGACATCTATCTCAGTATCTGCTATCAATCAACAATGCTGACATTGCTATCCTGGCGATGCACGTCAAAACCAAACTGCCAAAGCCAAAGCCAGTCAAAAAGGCCTTTGATTTGAGATTCGTCGTTGCAACGTCAAACGCTGTGTTGAAACAGCACTCTACTACATGTAGCGTACTTGGACAGCGGAATATGCGGAGATTATGGTACATGACATTAATTTTATCATGGGTGCATGCATGCAGGGTGCTGGTATGCGGGGATTTCCCTTCCTTGTTGGACAAGTCTGGTCCGCGTCCCGAAAATGGTGCCGATTGGTGGATCATGGAAGTGTCCGTGAGTGGCATCACGCGTGCGCGTACATGTACAGACAGTTTGTAGACTACCTATCGTAATAATAATAATAATAATTCGCGGGATTCGCGTTGGCATCGCTTGAATGTTCAGAAACACACAAACTAGCCTTCGCTTCCGCAGGCCACCACTATGCCTATGCCTTGCACACCTTAGTGGCGAATGCAGACCTCACAAGTGAGTCAGGGGAGAGTAGGTGAGTCTCTCAACCAATCGGGCGTGTAACGGCCCATAACCCTGTAAACTGCATCCTTGTTACCCTCACTCCGAGCTGTGAGTACCCAGTTGACCGTGGGTGTCGGCGCAGTTCACCACACATAAAAAGTCTTTACTCACGTAAAAAGTCTTTACACGCTCCCTGCTACCAGCGCGGGTCTCGAACTCGGGACCTCATGATTCGCAGGCAAGCCTGCAAACCAATCGGCCATATGCGTTGGTCTCGCGCGATTAGTGCCCCTGGCCCGGGTAGTCCCTTCCCAAAGATGCCATTACGTGTATTTTTCGTAATTCATGCTTCTGACAACCATGCCAAACAAGTGCAAGTTACTGAAGTCGCATCCATATTTTCAGAAAATGCTCAGAAGTTGCCATCATCGTGACTGAAATGAGAGAGCTCTTGTGCATACAATGTCAACGATGCCAAAACAACTAGAAAACAACCGCAGCAATAGCAGAAGTACCGAGTCGCCGAGACAGCAAACTCCTTACTCCTTCCTGCTGGGAACTACTGTAGCGGACATGGAAATCCAGTCGATGGACCGGGGCCGGCGCCCTCAGCGCGTACAGAACGCTGCGTGCAGTGCACATGGTGCACATGTTGATTCGATGCGACCAGCGCGCGCTGCAGCGCATAAATGCATGTTTGTACCGCTTACACACGGCTGCTGTATGGCCAACGCCCTGGGGCCGCTAGACGTGCGACCGGATTTCCATGTCCACAACAGTAGATCTACAATTATGTACATGTACATGACTTGTACAACTTTACACCGTGCTTGTACATGTAATTGTTGCACGCATCCTCCATGTATATGACATGTACATGTACATGTACTTCTTACGTAGGGATGTCATTGTCAATTGAATATTATCCTGTCCACGATGGGAATTAGGGGGCATTTAAATAATAATTGTTCTCATCAACTGTTCGAACAAATTTTTAAAAGGGATTCGTTGAAGTGTCCCATTAGAACGGCTTCAAATAATTTTAGAGTATTTCAGTGGAATTGTTATGGCGATGACGACGTCCGATCAGATTGACCATCTCCACGTACTACGTGACGTACATGTACATGTACAATCATGTAGCTATTCCAAAACTCTTCGGAGCTAATCCACCTCTCCCAACGGATGAGGTTGTGGAGTTTCGAGGAGCTTCGTTTTTTGAAGAGGCCAATAAGGCCATGCACCTCTTCAGAAAACCGAACCTCCTCGAAAAGTCAAAGAGTGACAATTCAGGAGGTCCAGGAGAAGTCATACTTTTGTTGATGCCATCCAGGCGTCGTCTGGTCTCGTCTGGTCAAAAGAAAAATCCATCACTACTATTTGACGGACCTACTGAAGATGGCATCAACAAAACTAAACCTGACCAACAGTACTGACCGTCTACCCCTTATTTAACTGGTAATCAAGTCTAGCACAACTTGGATGCGCACTCCACACGAGTAGTAGTACAGTACATAGTAGTAGTATTTATTCATACTTCTCTAGGGCAGTCCCCACAGTACAGACCTATGGTCTCCTTACGGGGCACCCTAGCCAATCTAGGATTGCGATACGAAATTGACTTTTTTTTTTACTAAGGCCACAGCTTCCAATCATGACATGCAAAGCAGCGGTGCAGCATCGCAGGCATGAATCGTGGACGTGGTGACGGGGTCTGATGTGCTCCGCCGACCTAGGGTCTCGGCTTCACTGCACAACAAACGCGTCGAAAGAAAACTTGGTGAAGCAGCAAGGCGGACCGATGCCGGAGCTGAGTTCCAGCGGTCAGCGGCTAAATAAGAAAGAGAGAAATAACCAAATCGAGAGGAGGCTCGTGGCAGTACAAGTCCAAGCGAGACTTGCGAGTCTAATGTTTATTTGTGTAACAATGGGAAAAGTCAAAGCAAAGAAAATTGTGAATGCACTAGCCTTTGTTTATCTGCAATGTAAACCTAAGCGTGTGCGGCGACTTAAAAGCCAGTGCCAGCATTAGAACATACATGTATGCATTCCATTGCACTAGACAACACCTACAATCCACTAGACATGCATCATCATCATCATTATAAGCAGCAGCAGCAGCAGGAGCATCTGCGATACAAAAAAAGAAGGCGAAAAATCGTAAAAAGAGAGAAGGAAAAAATGAAAAAAAAAAAACGGCATTATGCATCTGTGTGAGCCGGACATGCACAGTGTGACTGCCAGGCAATACTGCTACATGCCAACACCTTCACATGCAGAGACATAGCATGCTAGCAGAGACAAACCAGTAGACATACGCTTTACAATAACATGTATGATAAAAATGACCAATGGAAAGGTCGAACCAGCCGACAAACAGTCCTTGACACAGCCTCTTGGTCGGGTAGCTTGGCACCAGTTCATACAACACCTGTGCTGTACAGAAGCCTTCTATCTCAACGAAAGGTGGGCTCTTGCACATTTCATCGCCTCGCCAATGCCGTCGTTCTCTACGGGACTCCTGTAGGTTTTAACACAGATAAAAAAACAACAACAAAAAACTTGTGCACGTCTAACTGTTCAGAACCTGGTTTAGTTGGGTGACCCACCGCTTTCCTTGTCTCAATCAAAGAGAGGGGATTTTGTTTTACAAATCACTGTCCAATACATGTACATGTATATGTATATGCCCTATTATGGGGATCTGTATGGAATTTTATGCCTGACGCGTCAATTCGTTCTTATAGGTGCAAACAGAAAAGTGATGTCTCCGTTACTGGTACTCTTCTGTACGTTGAAACGATTGGTGCTGGTCCGAAAGGGCTGAATAACGTAATTTTTACCACCCTGTGCTAATCGTGCATTTTTTTAGCGTGACCTTTTCCCCACTTTCTATGCATAAATAGAGCAACAGATAACGTCACAGGAGATCAGTCGGGGCAGTGACTAGCCTGAAATGAGAGAAAAAACCGCCAGACCCACCAGCACTCGCACCCGGGACCTTGCTTGTCATGAGTAGTGCTCTAACCATCTTGATCATTTTCAAAATGATTGAAAATAGTGAGCAGAGAGCGTGGTGATTTCTTGCACAACAGCCAAGTCCAAGGTTCGTTGAACGTCAGTCGTGAATCGCCTAAGTGTCAAGTGAAGTCGGCGGAAAAGCGCAAGGTCTGGTGTGGAGAGAAAACACCCTTTCCCATTCCCCGGGTGTCAAGGAAAAAATCAACACGTCACTGTCAATAAACCGCATTGGTACCTAGGTTTCCGTCCTACATAGGCATACAAGTAATTTTTAAGTGAACCTCATGAAAAATATAATTATTTAGTAGAATCAGCTTGCATGCTGCTCAATGTTTTAAGGACTTAACAGACAGTTATCATATTTTATTTATTTTAATTTTTATTTCACCTTCCCATGGCCAGAGAATAAGGGCCAATATGGAGGGAGGGGGGGGGGGGGTAGCCAGCCATGGCAGTAAAAATATATAAAAAAAGCAAAAAATAATATTTCTTTTAAGTGTGTTACATTGTGTACATGCGTTCTCACCTTTAATAGGCTGTGCATGTGCTGAACGCTTACAGCTCGTCCTTCGCCTCTGCCCACAGCTTGTTCGATTCCTTGCTGATGTTCATGCCGACAATGACATCGCACAGTTTTGCAAATGTTTCACGCCCCCCAGCAACAAGGAAGGAGACAATTTTGTCAGCATGTGCTTCTTTCCCCTCATACTTCAAGATTCTGCTTAGTGTTTCCGGATCAGATACTGAGTTGAGAAGTTTGGCAGCTCTACAGCCAAGGCGAAGTTTTTCTTGTCCCATGAAGTACATCAGAGGCCACAACTCAGCCACGAATTTGGGAGTGTCGAATGGATTCTCAGCCTTGGCTTGTCCTAATGTCACAAAAATACACATACACATACATGTAGGCACAAACAAAGCCATGTTTTTGCTGATCAATCCTGCATATCCGTACATCATCACAACACTCACCAAGCGGTCTCTAATACTCTATACTCTTGGACAGGCAGGCATAGTGGGATGGTCTAAGACCATGATTGAGAAACAGAGGGTACCAGGTTCAAGTGCTGCTTGGAAGCGGAAGGATTTTTTCCAGCCGTGCTGCGACCCACAGTTAATTGGGAACTCGTGGCCTGGCACGAGGAGAACATGGATGCAGTGAATGGGATTTTCGGTCTTTGACCGCTTGCTGGTGAGCTGATCTACTCACCTCCCACCGCTTTAGGAGCTCCATCTGCGCCTTGATCCTTGAAGCGTGGTGGCGTTTCAACGGATGCGGAAAATTCGGTTTCCAGCCGAGTCTCACGCGAACCGTGAATTTTTTTTTTTTTTGGTGCACCAATCACTGAAAAAGAAGAAAAAATAGGAAAATCAACGGAATACAGTATAAGGAAATTCTCATCTTCAGGAATGCAGTCACTGCATAAAAAAAACAGAGATTTTAAATACATAGGCTCGAATGGTGAGCCAAGGATATAGTGAAGAAAAGGACCAAGAAACAACACGTTACGCCATAATGTCCACTAACACTACCAGTTAAAAATCCAGGGGAGTGAACAATCACTCTCGCTATCCTCTCAAGGAGAGTGGTGGGAGAGCAGTCCCCAGCACCCTCCCCCCCCCCCCCCCCCAAATCGCTCACCTCATCTACCCAAGGCGAGCACAAATCACAATACGGGTTTTTCAACATCTTGCCATACCCCAATCGGATTCAATACCCAATAGGTGCCAAATTCATTCCGGAAAATTGCCGTACGCCCTACAAATGGAAGCTGTACGGACCACAACTTCAGTTTCCCTTCATCAATTTTGCAATGAATCTCAGGCATTCTGGAAAGCTACTGCCCTACTGCCATCGCACTACTCCTCCTAGTCCTACTGCTTGCTAGCTAGCTACTTCAAGCCTTCAGACTGGCCTGATGCCAGCTGGGCTGCCAAAACCACGGAAAAAAAACTATGGAGCTGCAAAAGTCCCAACTGGCCTCTGCCTGTACAGCCTACTGCTCTTTACTTACCCACTGGATCAGCAGTAGATGCTCCTGCAGACGCTAATGCGGCCTCAGCAGTACTGCCGGGCTGCTGGAACTTGTCGACGGGTTCCAGCTTGGCCAATAACCTTCTCGCGCTGGCTTCTGGCTCGACTTTACGGATGCATTTAAGGAAGGTGTGGAAGGATTCGTCATCACCAGTGCTTAGTGCATCGAGCAATTCCTCATTCTGCACTGCACGGCCAGTGTGTAATGCAAATAGCTGACGCTGTGCACGCGTAATCAACCTCTTAGCCTCACACTGGCGACGCATATCACCTGGAGTTAGCGTGGAAACCAGGTCAGGCCGAAGTTCTGTGAAGACCTCACTCTCCCATGCTGTCATGTCAGAGAGCTGTTGGTCAAGAGACTCGTCTGAAAATGTTGGCACAACACACACATAGAGAAACAGAAATTCTGGATGGACGTCACTTTAAGTGTGACGTCACGGCCCCTTCGATACGCATGGATGCAGTGAATGGGATTTTCGGTCTTTGACCACTTTCTGGTGAGCTGATCTATTTACCTCCCACCGCTTTTTTAGGAGCTGCATCAGCGCCTTGATCCTTGAAGGGTGGTGGCGTTCCTACGGATGCGGAAAATTCGGTTTCCAGCCGAGTCTCACGCGAACCGTGAATTTTTTTGGTGCACCAATCACTGAAAAAGAAAACATAGGAAAATCAACGGAATCTCAGGAAATTCTCATCTTCAGGAATGCAGTCACTGCATAAAAAAACAGAGATTTTAAATACATAGGCTCGGATGGTGAGCCAAGGATATAGTGAAGAAAAGAACCAAGAAACAACACGTTACGCCATAATGTCCACTAACACTACCAGTTATGCCATGAGCTGATTGTTTAGTAACTGGTTGCCTTAGTGGACATTATAGCGTAACTTGTAGTTCCCTGGTACTTTTTTACTATAATTTCAATATAATTACAGTACGAAGTAGTGGTTGCGACCTCGGCGATGATTTGTGAGAAAAGGGTTTGCTCCCCACACATAATTACAGTGTTGCAAATATCCGGAGCACACGAGGAGCACATCGCACCTTCCACTCGACAAACCTGCAAGAAAGAACCACTACCTGCTCAATACACAGTGTTTCGAGGAATTCACCCCTCATCAGTTGGCCTTGATTAGGCTCAGGAAGATTGTACTTGAAAAGGACCACATATATACCGTAGTGCCCTCAACTTCAAGGCCAAACCATCACCAGGGATACAAACGTACAGAGAAGCCTTGTTCCCAACGCGCTCATGTGCTCCGGATGGCAGTCGTGAATCAGTTTTGCCGAGTGCAGGGTCGTGCGACGTGCTCCTCATGTGCTGCGCATGGTAGGCATTTCCCAAATCGGCCGGCCGAAAAATAAGCCGAAAACAGTGGTTTTGAAGAAATCACCCATCTTTCCGCCGAAAACGCAATTTTCACATTGAATTCGCCGAAAATCGATGTTTTAGTACCTCGCGAACCGCATCCTTGCTCCGATGATGTCATTGATTTCTTCCAGGATAGATTGGACATTCTCTTAGCCGATCGAAAAGCCTATTAGGCGAAAAAATCGGGCCGATTTAGGAAATGCCTAGCGCATGGCAGCCGTGAGTCAGTCAAGTGTCAAGTTCGGCAGGAAGCGTGTGTTTCTCGTTGGAACAACCAACTTTATGACTAACACCTCCGAAGTCGCAACTTCTAACTCTTTTGTCTTGTTTTTTTTTTTTTAATTTTCTATACACTTACCGGCACTTTTACCTTCATTGTACCCAATTCTACTTCCCCTTCCCCATAACTACTTCAAGAAGTAGATCTAGCTTCGCTTTACACTTCTCTTGAAAAATCTACGAACTCCCCTCACGTTTTTGCACAGCCTTGGGCACAGCTGGTGTCGGGCTGATCGGGCGGGTTACAGGAGCTTGGCCTGGCGTTGTTGTTGTTGTCTATTTATTTTACATCGCAAGGCAAACGGGCAGTTCTGCCCAATATTATGAAAGCGATGACAACCTGTAAGAAGAGTCAGAAATGAAGAGAAAAATAAATGAAAATGGAAGTACAGTGTAGCAATGAGGGGAGGCAGGGTCAAGACGAGCAGAAAAATGGATCTCAAATTTACAAGTCGGGTCATCGTAGCATGATTCTATCGAGCCTCATCAGCATGTTACGAAAGCCATTACATTTAACCGAAGTAAAATCCGCGTAGCATGCGTTTGAATTCACGGACAGATACTATGGACTTCATACAGTCGGGCAGGCCATTCCGGAGTCGGCAGCTGGCTAGAAGCGGTCGGCATGCGCCAGAAGCACTGTGGGTCAGGGGGAGGGGAAGGTTGCGTCCCAACTGACCTCGAGTGGGCATGCCTGTCAGCGGGCCTTGCAATACAATCCGGGACGACAACAGCTCACTGACGATTCCAGAACGGATTCTAAATGTCAGGAGTCGGAGCTTGCATTCCCCTCGTTCCAGCACTGGGCAGACACCCAGCCTGGTGTACAGGGGAAGAGTGTGGGCCAATGGGTGCTCATCGGCCACGCAACGGATGCAACGTTTATCCAGTTAATCTGTTTGGCCACTGTGTTCCGCTGCTCAGCGGACAGTCCTGGGAGAAACACATAGTCATTCGACGCATATAGAATGTCTGGTATGACAAGGGCAGAGTAATACAGCATCGCCTTGCCCACTGTTAGGCAGTGCCGGATCTGGCGGAGGATCCGCAGCTTTATAGACGTCCGTCGGACGATAGAGGTGACTTGCGGTGACCAGCGAAGATTTTCGTCCAGAGTGACTCCGAGGTAGCGTAGTGGCGGCAGCAGCCGCATTGCCTTGGGTGAGGAGCGGCACAATGCTCTCCGATAATAATATAATGGCGCCGACAAAGCCGACTACACCTCGTCCCGTACGAGAGCGCAGAGATCCGTTGAGCCCGCGTCACCTGACTTGGCGAAGGAGGCATTGGTGCCAGTCGGGCTTCTGGGCTCGCGAGCCGTGTCCGCACTGTCATGTTGCTGGTTCTCCTGGCCGGAGCAGACCTCACTACCAAGGGCTAGTTGTGCCAGCAAATGGTCCTGCAAAATACTTTTACTAAGTTTCCTTTCGGATTCAAGCCGCGCTGAGAAAGCTCGCCGCGGAGGGCTTGGCAAGGCATTGCCTTGACAGTGTCGACAGTTAGGTCAGACATACTGAAGAAATACAGTGTCGAGATAACACTCGGGCCGGCAGCAAAGCTACGAAAGGAAAAGAAACACTGCTGAAGCACGATCCGTTGTCTGGAAGAGCACAACAGAGCAAGGGGTCGTCCATAAATGTCGAACGTTTTTCACAAAACGAAATAATTTCGTTATGGAGTGGGAGGGGGTTGACCAATTTCGTTTCAGAAAACATTGATTCATGTACATGGCCGTTGTATATGCATGTACATGTATGTCAACATTTTTTACGTTCTGAAGGGGAGGGAGGGAGGGGTTGGGTCGAAACTAAAATAATTCGTTTGGTGAAAAAAGTTTGATATTTACGGACAGCCCCCAACTAAGATTTGTTTTCTTTTCAGCAAAATGGGCTGGTGCCATTTTGTGATTACGCAGCAAAACAAAGCGCATGACGTCAGTCTTGAATGCAGTACAAAGCAATGCAGTGCAGTGCGTTACTGTGCGCTAGTTCGGATTGCTGCTAACAAGTACTATCACAGCTAGTACACCAGTAAATGTTATGTGTTTTCCGTGAGTACCGTATTTCCGCAAATAAAAGACCGTCCTCGTATACAACGCCTTCCTCGAATACAAGGCCGGGCCAGGGGGCGGTTGAAAAAATACAAGACCGTCTCCGATTAGAAGACCGGGCCTACTAAATGAGTATGAGAAAAATAGAAGACCGTGCTCAAACTGTATAGAAGAAAATGGAAGAACGGGGGTAAAACTGTGTGGCGAAAAATAGAAGACCGGGGGGTCAAACTGGGTTGAAAGAATAAAAGACCGTCCTCGATTATAAGGCCGGGTTAGGACGAGGTTGAAAAATAGTAGACCGGCCTACTATTTGTGGAAATACGGTAGATTGAAATGTCAGAAACTGGTTAGTTTGAGCCCAATGAGAGAAGTTGATTGTTCCAACTAGGGACACACGCTTCTTGCCGAACTTGACACTTGACTGACTCACGACTGCCATCCGGAGCACAGGAGGAGCACGTCGCACCTGTGCAAGTGTCAAGTTCGGCAAGAAGCATGTGTTCCTAGTTGGAACAATCAACTTCATGACTATTACCGCCGAAGTCGCAACTTCTAAGTTCCAATGAGAGAAGGTATCGTTAACATTTCAAAAGCCCACGTGCTTGTGGACTTTCCAGACAAGGTACAGATTACTGTATTTGTAACAAAGTCCTATGGCTGACTTGTGTCCTTACCGTGTTCTTTGGCCCAATCCTTGAGTTCCTTCAATGGCGGCGACTCGCCGTACAGTTTTACGGCCAAGTTCCAGTTTTTCTCTTCTGGGCCAGCGCTGTCGTCTTTGTTATCTGGTGATAGGCCCACATGAATGCCAATAATCCCAATGAGGCTGCCACCATCCATCGCGTACACTGGAGATCCACTCTGTCCGTGGCTGGCGTCAATATTGTGCTTCACGAGCCTCGAGCTCGTCTCCGTATCCTCGGTATTCTCAAGTGGTTGAATATCGAGGCCTGTCGGGACTGTGAATGCCTTTCCTCTAGTCGGGGAATGCGCAACCTCGTCCGGATAGCCTATGAGGAAACTACTGCCCTGGGTTGGAAAGGCCGTTCCCATGCCAATTGCTTTAGGTTGCTGGGAAGTGCTTGGGAGCTGATTCGCTTGTAGGTGAACGGCGAATATGCCATAATCGTACGAAAAGCGGTTCATACTCTCACTCTGCTGCCACCATGAGTCGGGCGCTTTCCGCCAATGGTCGGTTCCCTTCGGGGTAAGATATTTATGCTTCGTCAGTTCATCACTCTCATGGGATTCTGTAATGACTCGCACCCATCTCTCCTGGACCTCAGGGCAAAGTCTGCAATACATAAGGTGAGCAGCCGTGACAAAGTAGACATAACCGCCTTGCTCAGGTTGGACATCGGAAAGAAGAAAACACGTTCCGTAGCAACCGCTCCTTCTGCATTTCTTGCAGTCCACGCGTAGACGAAAGGTGGATTTGGCCACTTGATCATGATTCCTAACTCCCTCACGACGATCCGTGCCCGAGTGGCAACCATGCTCTAGGTTATCGGAGCTGCTGTTCCCTGTGCTATTTTCAGCCATTGTCTAGCAATAAAACGATGATACTAGCGAAGACAGTCAGTGCAGTAGTCGATCCGAGATTTCTGGATAAATGAACGTAATATAGTACGGTCAGTCATTTACCAGCGACGATGGAGAAAA